TTTGATCAACATATTATGGATATCTTCCTATGTAAATAAATGAATTTTCCCTATTTAATTTTTTAATGCCTGCAATGTTTCCCACTGAATGGATGTAACATAATTTAAACAGCCCCTTTGTTACAGACTCATTTTTTAACTTTTTGCTATTGCTAACAACATTATGATAAATAGGCTTGTTAAAACCTTGATCTTTGAGCATAGGGTTACTTCCTCAGGATAAACTTGAAGTAGTGAAATTATTGAGTTAATAGGCATATGCATTTTTCAGGCTTTTTATATGTAATGCCAAACAGGCTTCTGGATAAGTTGTGCCAAATATGTGTCCCATTAGTATGAGTACTTAATATGGTTTTTGGCCTTTGCTAAATTTATAAAAGGTGAAGACTCAGGCACACCTTGTTTCATCTTGTATTTCTTTAACTACTAGTTAAATTCAACATTTTCCACTGTGGCCCCGGTGATTCTTGGCTCCTGGCGTTCACACCTTTGGGTTGTCCCTCCCACAGTGTATGTTGATCTTCATGACCAACAGAATATGGCAGAGGTGATGGTATGTGATTTCCAAGATAGGTTATAAAAGACATTTTTGTTTCATGTAATTCTTCTTTGTTCTTTGTCACTTAATATGTGCTCAATTTTTGTGAAAGTTTCTAGGATACTTCTGCCTCTCTTCTGCTTGCTGGGGGACGGGCGTGGAGATAGTTGCCATATTGTGAGCAGCCCGATAGAGAGGTCTAAGTGGCAAAGAACTGAGACCTCCTGCCAATAGCCCGTGAGGAACTGAGGGTTCAAGTCAACATCTATGTGAGTAGGGTGACCAACCGTCCTGAGACTGAGGGGTTTGCCTGGACACAAGACTTTCAGGTTAAAACTGGGAAAGTCCTAGCCAAACTGGGGTGAGTTAGTCACCCTACATGTGAGAGAGCCTTCTTGGAATCAGATCGTCCAGCCCCAGTCAAGCCTCTGGATAACTGCACAACTGTGGCTGATATGTTGGCTGCAACTTCATGAGGGACCCTGAGCCAGAACCACCCAGTTAAGACACTCCCAGATTTCTTACCTCCGAAACTGTGAGATAATAAATGTTTGCTGTTTTAAGCTGCCAAGTTTGTGAGTAATTTTGTTCCACATAAATAGGTAACTAATATGTGATGGTTTAAACACATTTTTACAAGAATTTAATATGTGATAAAGGTGATATTTTTACCACTTTGGAAAAAATAGATTATTCAGTAAATGGTATAGGAGCAATTGAAACAATAGGAGCCCTAGGCAGGAAGGCAGAAGCTGATGTTGTTCTTGGAGGCAGTGTGTGTGGTGGGGTGTGGGTCATGCATCTAGACCTCACAGGTATAATAACTGCAGGTGGAAGCTGAAAACAAGAAGAGCCCAATAGGAAGGAGTGCTGGGAATTGTGGTTTCAGGAAACTCAGTGTCAAAGAACTAGGAAATAGGCATAGGAGAAAATGCCCCCAAAAAGTCGCTAAAGGATTACGAGGCAACTTGGCATGTAAGAGTAAACAAAATCAGCAAGATCCTTGACCCTAGGGAACTAGCTGAGAAGACAGCATTAAAAAGACACAAATAACTAGGTAATTGTCAAGTGTACAAAATGAAGCAAAGGTAAAAGTAGCCCTGAAAAGATCTACCCGGTGGCCTTTACCTGGTGGGGAGGTTCATGAACAGCTTGCCTGAGGAAGCATCATTTGAACTAAGACCTGAAGGATGACTAGGGGTGGGATGAAGGGAGGTGTATGTTGAAGGCCAAGGACACTGAGCAGGGTTGAGCTTTCACACCTGTATCTCTTCTGGTAGACTGATGGATTTCTTTTTAATACATCTGGTGATCATTTTACTGTAAAACTTTTATCTTTTTCCCACATGATTTTGATTTCTCCAAATCCCAGGAAGTTACAACCACAAACATCTAGTTCTTGCTCACAGAATAGGTAGGAGGCTACAGGATTGCTATGGTCCAGCGCCACATCTTCTTGTCCCAGAACCCATTCTGCAGAAGCAGCTCCTACTCAGGACACACCATTCTCATAGCAGAAGGAAATGAATGAATGAGAGAGAAATGAACTAACTATGCACGCACAAAGTTTCTACTCAGGCGTGGTGTTCTTCAGGTCTACTTACGTCCCCATTGCCCAAAGCAGGTTTCAGGGCCAAGTGAAACAATGGGGTGGGCAATAGATTTTGCCTTCAGGGTGGAATTGCCAAGTCCCATGGCAATGGACTTTGATGTGGACCCTTTTAAAGGGAAGGGAAGAGCTGATGATTGGCAACAATAATATAACCAACCACAAACTGAAGTGCTATGGAGAAGCTAAAGCAGGGAAGGAGGATAAGGGGAGTTGGGTGTGAGTGTGATGGGGATGGAGGAGCGGGTGTAACAGGAAAACTGACAAACTTAAAGGAGGCTTTAACATTTTATGTTTTGTTATTAGGATCATGAAGTATGCTTGAGCTGAACCCCACCCACTGCCATCGAGTCGATTCCAACTCATAGCGACCCTACAGGACAAGGTAAAACTGCTCCATAGTGTTTCCTACGCTGTAACCTTTATGGAAGCAGATTGCCACATCTTTGTCCCATGGAGCAGCTGGTAGATTCGAACCGCTGACCTTTCGGTTAGCAGCAAAGTACTTAACCACTGTGCCACCAGGGCTTGAGACTGCTATCTACCAAAGGTCCACTTCTTTGTCTTCCCGGGCACACAGATTTTTCCCAGCTGCCATTTCAGTTAAGTGTGGCCATATGAGAGCTCCAGCCAATAGAATGGGAACAGAAGCGATGTGTGCCTTGTCCCCTGCTACCTGGAATCAAAGGACCCCAAGGCTCTAGGGGATGTGAAGCCACAATATGGAAAGAGTCTGGGTTTCAGAATCACCATCTACTTTTAGACTGTGAGCAAGAAATAAGAGGGTATCTGATAATTAAAAGACTACTCAACTGTGACCATGAACTTCCAAGTGTATTCCACCAGGTAGCCTGAGAAGTCTGAGGGCAGAGGGCTAATAACAGGTGTTATAATATAATAACGGAGTTGCCATCCAGGCATATGAACTCAAATGGGACAAGATATGTTGCAGGCACTGGAATTTTCTAGCATGCTCGTACAACTGATAACATCGTAAGGAACAAAAGTTTTGAGCACAGATAACGCACATGGATTTAACTTCTTACTGGTCCCTGGGGTCTCATTTAAGTTCCCTATGAGAGATCAGCCCTTTGTTCCTGGAAATCTATTTACTAATAGAATGAGGTCAAATTTTAAAACTCAATTATTTGGACATATAAAACCACAAACTAAGAGTTGTTCTTTTTCAACTGTAACATATTCATACATTAATGTTAACGCGGTAAAAGCAAGTGAAATCAAATCTGAAGCGTTGACATTAATTGTTGTGGTTATTTAACTTTATTGTAATTTAACATCTGAAAACTGCCAAACATATTATTTGTACAAACATCTTGTTCAACTGGGCACAGCATCTTCATACAAACAATTTGAATAAAGACTAAGTTTAAGTTAGAATCTTGTCTTATAAAACATAAGGAATAACACAGTGTTTAGCTGCATTTGTATACAAAGTACATCTGGTTTTCTAAAAAGAAAATGTACATTCTTGCCCCTGGTGTACATTTTATTGGCATTTAACAACAAATGGCTGATAATATTAGCACCCATTCTCATAGCTTATAAGCATGACATCAACCATTATAAAAACTAATAACAATGTAATAACAATGTAATGACAAATAAAATAATAGCAGTGAACATGTTTCTCTTGAAAGTTTGAATTTTTAAAAGAAAGCCCAAAATGACAAGTCAGAGCTAATGCATCTTCCAAAACTGAGTATAATAAATGGCTCAGAACTAAACAAATTAACTAGAAATGTTGCATAGGACAGAGAACTTCCCTGTATGGAAACCAATTTACTGATGGTTTCTTATCCCCTGAGGAGTAAGCTGAGAGGTACTAGTGATGGCAAATGATGCACATATTTTTTTACAGAATAAAAACATCTAACTATAATATCCATAGTCCACCATCAACTCTGTGGCAGTACAAGGTGCCATTTTAAATTCGAAATGAAAAGATTTACTTGTGTGCATACCGACAGGTATAGAATAAAATATAAATATAGAACGGTATCCTTATGAGGAATAAATACATACAATAAAATATATATCTATAAAAACTTCGAACATAGGTATCTTCGTATAGAGATGTATGCAATAAATGCCTAGTTAAATGTCTAAGTTTAGCCAACATACGGAATGTTTTGAAATCAAAAGTATGTCATTGAAAAAAATGTAATCAGACTCCATCCAAACCATCCTTGCAGTACAATATCTTCTGCATAAAATTTCTCCCTATCTAACCTATAATTTATCAAAACACTGGTAAGAACACTTTATGAAAACTTATAAGCTTGCTTTTTTCTTTCTTTAAATCTGAACAAGTACAACATACAGAGAAATAATAAGAGAAAAGAAAATAAGTTATATGGCTACCCCCTTTCGGGAAACTGGTAGAACATGAAAAGAACATTGTAGTGAGAGAGAAACTATTTGAGGAAGAGATGATATCTATAGTTGCACCTTTAAATTCTCTTCTAAGGAAAAAGTCTTATGGTTTTAATTATACAAGTTTTCAATTACTAACATTTCCCTTTTGGGATTTAGCTGTTTTGGTTCTATATATAAAGATTCACCAACATCAGTGGGTTTTCTGTTTCTTGTATGAAGTATATTTGTAAACTGAACAACTAAAAGTAATAAAAGGACACAAAGAATGAGCTGCCGATTTGAATATTTCAATACTAACACGTTAAATGGCTTTTAAGGAAGTAGATTGGACTGTTATATAGTTCTACAATTCTGGATATAACATATTAAAGGAGCCTTCAACAAAACAAAAAACTGCTTAGGCAGCAAAAGGATTTTATACCAAGAACAAGTCCAATCTACTTTTACACAGTTTTTTTAATGCTTGAGGTAATTGTCTTGCTTAAGTCTTGCAATGTAGTGGCAGAGTTTCACGACGGTGCCCAGCTTTAGCCCCATGTACTTCATCATTGTGTCACTCTTCAGGAGCAGCAGAGCTTTCCCATCGATATCCTGCAGAGAGAAGGAAATGACGGTAATTAATACTGCTTTCTTATCTTATCAGAAATTATTTCTCTATATATGAGAATGTGTAAACAAACGAGAAGGCAGCTGTAAATTCCAGAGTCTCTGAACGTGCATCTATTTTATGAAAACTATTAAAAGTATAACTTGTACAGGGAAACATCATTGGATAATTTATAAATGTCAAATTTTAAGAAAAAGGAAATTTAACCTAATATCTTCAAAAAGTAGTCCTATGTGTCAAACTATCTGATTTGAAATACTGTGTCTTGAAGAAAATACTACATATCTATGAGAAAAAGAGTCAACAACTATGAATGGTAGAAATGAATTTCTGACATTCATTAACTTCTTAGAAGGGATCCTGAGTTTACCAACATCAATGCAAACTGTCAGTGTGCTGTACAGTGTTGTCTTTATTTAAAAGCTAATCAGTTAGTTGTCTGAAGTGAATTAGATGCTAAAACTACTGATTTTCCTACCATACTGGAAAGTGCTTAGAGTTGGTCACTAACTTAATTCTTTAGAAAACACTATAAAAATATTACTTGGTAGTCACAATGCATTCTCCTAAAATTCTTTATTATACCTTAATTGACCAACTTATGCTGAAGCATTTGATTTTCACAAGTTTTGGGTTAAAAATGAAACTGCACTTAATCATATATCACTGTCGGAAAAGACGTGAAATCCATTACATTAGTACCTTTGTCAGGCACCTTTGTACTTTTTCTACCAAGTAAACCTAAGAAATTGGAACTTATAAAATTTTAGCCCATGGTGTTACATTGAAAAGTGGTCTGGTAAAAGGAGAGTATCAGCATCACAAACCATCAATAGCCATAGAAGGTTAACAGAACCGAGCCAAATGGAATCAGTGGCTAGATTTACTGGATATCATAATAAGGACACCTGATTACCCAATTAAGAGGTTATTTCACCCTGATGATTTAATCATTGCCCCTCTCAGGGTTGTCACTGACCCCTCAGTAATGACAGATACAAATATCCTGCCCCCACCTGCCTGGTCACTCCTTCCTGCTCATAGCACCAGGGCTGACCAGGCGGACGGGGGCAGGATACTTGTATCTGTCATTACAAAGGGGTCAGTGACAACCCTGAGAGGGGCAGTGATTAAATCGTCAGAGTGAAATAACCTCTTACACACATGGGAAAAGGTTCTCCCATTATCCACACTCATCAGCACCAACTGAAGGGCCTGTACAGAAGCTATTCAAAGGCATTACAGCAGGAAAACCCCAACAAAAAGATACATTACATGCTGCCTGAAGACCTCGGCGAGGAATAATGATAATGGAGGATCTGTATATTTCATAAACTGTATCACATCATCCACAGACCAGCTTGAAGGGTCCTTGAAGTAGGTTTGTTTCGGGCCACTGAAGTCAGATCTTATTGGTGAGCTTGTAGCTTCAATGGGGAAAAAAAGACAAATGATACGTGACCTGATCATTATCCTGAAAGAAGAGACGTTAGGTAGAGTAACAGTCTCACTCCTGGAAGCTTCAGTTAAGTAAACCCAGTGAGGACCTAAAACTCCAGGTGTAAAAGCCAGTGAAAGCCTATGTAAAGGCAGCCTGAAGATGGCTGCCCAAGAGCTTCCCATCTGACCTTCCCCCAAAAAAGCACCTTCAGAAGTTACCTGGAAGCTTCAAAGATCACAAAACAAACTGAGCAATCCAAGGCCTCTCTGGCCACAGGCAGATATAGCAAAAGGACTATTGCTTGGGTTAAATTATGTTACTTTAACCTAACCAATTACCCTCTTACTTCAAGTACTTCAATGAATTTCTCTTAATCAAAATCTCTCTTTCTCTGCCTGTCTAGGTTAGGTGTATTTGACTAGCTAAATACACTGGAAAATTCCCGAAATTTACAGTTTTATGATTGCTTAAATATTTTCATTTTAATCAAGGAATTTCAATAACCCTATTCTCTTTAAGAATCAAATTAGTTCTTCTACCAAATATCTACTATGTATTGAATATGGATGTTTTTAGCATCATTTTGCTCTTTTAAATTCCCATCTCTCATGGCCTAAAATGCTTATCTAAATTTTGAAGAAAACAAGATTACTGCCAAACTGATTTGGGGAAATACGGCCTCCTGCCCCCAACACCACCACCTGAAGAGCATAAAACCAGCCCTCAACATGGGAAACAAAAAGCCTCCCCTGGCTTGCATGAAGGATGCTGATGAATATAGGTCAAACAGTGCTACTTAATATGTATCATTTCAAACTCACCAAAACCAGAAGGGATGCACAGACTACGTTGGCCAAGATTCTCATTCTCCATTATGTCTGGGTAATCCATCATCTCAGGGTGGCTTTGCGGGCTGGGTTCTCCCTGGGTCAGCACCGAGGCAGGTACATGTACAGAAGGTCTTGAAGGTGAGAAGATATTGCCGGTGCTGGGCACCGTTGGGCTGGAAAAGCAAGGTGCTGCAGAAGGACCAGGCACTGGGTCATCTGGTGTATAACGTGACCGTGTGGAGAAGACTGAGGGAGCTGGTGTACTCTCCATGAGGTCTCGATCCTGATCCTGATCCGCATACAGCGGCTGCTCTACTTCAGTTGGTATATCTGATGGAAAAGATGCTCCTTCATAGTTGGGGTGGGAATTACTTTCTGGCCTTTCCACTGGTAAAGTCGGGCTATAACTTTCAGGGTAGTTGAATACAGCAGGAGGCCCGTTTTTCTTCATTTTCTGCTCTTTGAGTTTTTTAGAAAGTAGGTAGTTATAATTTTTGTATGTATATCCAAATGGTCTCTGAAATGACAAAGTAAAATATGAAATAAGTAATAAATTCGTTAATATTTATTTTCCACCTAACACTGCTTTCCATTATTAAAGATAAATGTGCTATTTTGATTATATGATTTACTTTTAGTCCTATTTAGCCCTACAAATTAATTGTATTTTATATATTACAGATACAGAAAACTCATTGTCATGCATTTATCAAACCTAAACTTTAGTGTTCTTCCAAGAGAATTGTAGTTCCTTATCTGCTACTACAACAAGTATAGATCTGCTTTGCTAATCTCAGAGTTATTAGTTCTCTATCACTTCTCATTGACTGGTACCTTTAGGAAAATATTTTTATAACACTTACACGATACTGCCAAATTGATTTTGCACGAAAACGTTGAATTTTTGAAACCTTTCCATGAATCACATCAAACTTCTTATCCAGGTTTTGAATAGCATCATGTATGACCTGTTATGATACAAGCTATTTTAGTACTTCCTATTTCAAAAGAAAAGTAACATAGAGTAAAATACCATCAAGCTGAATTTTAACTGCTAGAAGGAAAGTTGGTTCTCAAGCTGTCAGACATTTTCTGGTTTCCCCCTTGATGACTGGCTTTAGGTGACCTACTGCCTGAGTGGCTGAGATAAGGAGCCCCACCTTCTAGTAAACTACTCTATTTCATATAGACACTGAAAGGCGCTCGAATACTGGAAAGTAAGTTTGCCACAATTCCTATAACCCGTCACATTTATGATGGGGTCCCTGCACATCAAGAGGGTGCAGTGGTAGGAAAGGAACTTTCTAATCTGCTGAAAGGCCCAAGGGTCTCCCTCCGTGTGAACTAAGAGGCAGGGAGCTATTAGATGTGGAGAGAACACTACACCAAATGTAACAGTTCTCACTTCTGCCTTCGAAGTCGTTTAAAATCATGCAACCAAACAATTACCCTTACAAACCCTTTGATTACATGCCCCATTTGCCAATGGGGTATGTAACTGAATTTTGCTTGGCATACACAGAAATTTCATTTGGGCAAAAATTCAATAAAATAAAAAGCCAGAAACATTTCTTCATTCCTTCATTCATTCATTCAAACAAACATTTATTGAGGGCCTACCACCTGTCAAAACTACTTTGCTGGGCACTAGGACTAGGGACATAAAAGAAACAGTCCCTGCCCTAAAGGAAACCCCATTTTAATTGTGGAAGGAGACAAGTAGAGAAACTATTTCAATAGACAAAGTGCTTAACAGCCTAGAGCAGCGGGTCTCAAAGTGTGTCCCTGGATGGGCAGCCATCGACGTCATCTGTGAGCTTGTTAGAAATGCAAAGTCTCAGGCTCCACCCCAGACCTACTGAATCAGAATGGGGGCAAGCCCTTCAGGTGATGCCTAATGTATACCCACTGGCCAAATCAGCCAATATCCTGTAAAGATTTTGCAGGGGAAATTAAGTATCGAACAATCTAGATGATGGAGACAACTACACTTAATTCATAATAGGATTTTGAAAAAGCTACCAAAATCTATACACTGCCATTTCAAAACTTCCACCTGAGGGTGCTGTTCAAATGCTAAATAGTTAAAAATCATCACAACGGGGTTATACTAATCTGATGATGATAACATTTCTATTAATAGTACAATGACATCAAATGAGATAAAGACAATTTTAGCTCCATATTTCAGCAAACCATATCTGAGAGGCAGAACTTCATACCTGGCAGTGAGTAAGAACATCCTGAACTGTTGTTTTTTGCTCCTCTTCATTGGTGGGTGTGTCAGAGATAGTATTTTCCTGCTAATATTTTAAAATGAAGTAATTAATTCTTTACTTCTATAAGAGCCAAACTGAACACTAGGGGAAAAAATAAACCACTTTATATGTGTCTATTTAAATTGTTTTCATTTATTTTTCACCAACCTTTCAAAGGGTTTCAGAAGTCTTAATAACATGAAGCAGAGATAAAATGAAATAAGAACTCACACTAAATATGAGAATGAAAATGACAAGACCCAAGTAAGAAAGGGGCTAATGAAAGAATGGATTATTAGAAAGATTGGGAAGGAAACGGATTCTGTACTGAAAACGAATATAAAACCGCTCCGAATTCCCTATGATATAAGGAAACAAGGGAAGTAAAATGGTTAAGTGCTTATTGTTTGATGAAAGGCTGCATACAAATTCAGGGGAGAAATATCTTCTGGAATGTGAGTTCGAAGGAATGTCAGAGTATATGAAGGCCAAAAAGGAATTTAAATCTTTTTCCTTAACCTGGCGTTAATACATTTGGCAAACAGCAATTAGTATTACTTACTTTTTTGTTTGCGGTGTTTGGTTCATATGCATAAAGGATAGTATTCTCATCATCGTCATAAATAGGTATCCGTGTTCTTATCTGAGGAAGATTTGTTAACAAATTAAAAGGAAAGACGAAAGAAAGAACTGAAAGAGAAGTTCAGGACTTCAATTTCGCTTTCAGGAAGCTCTGAAGTCCTCTTTGTGATATCAAAGGACCTTTGTCCATTGCAAAAACGACAAATACATGAAAAGATATACTTGCAGAACCGTTTTCTCATTAAGTCAACCACAATTAAGACACTATTTTGCATCAAGCGAACATCTTATGCACTTCAGAGTTGAATAACTAGCCGTGTAGTATGTAATTGGGCATCAGAACCCTTTTGAAACCAAATATTTCTAATTATGAGCAAATGACCAAATCCTAAATGGCTTTTGATTTTTAAACAATCCAACAGTGCCACTAGGTGGACAACATAGGAAACCACTTAAGTACCTATTTTTCTTAACAAATTAATCTCTAAATCACCTTAAATGCTTTTTTTGGAATAAGACAGAGTATAAACAAGTAAATACGCATTACATTTCATTATAACTCTTTATTCTAAGATTGAATTATAAGCTATAAGAATAATTTTAAAGTAACATACCCAGTAGCTATGTGTGTCTTTTTTCAAAATCTATGATAGAAAACTACCTGAATTAGCCTTGCATTGATTAGACAGCCAAAATAACACGACATTGTACTATAGATTAGTACTTATAAAAATAATATCACCATCTTACCCTTGTATAGTGCTTTATGCTTTTCAAAGCACTTTCACATAATTATGTCAGAAATCATGACTCTTGGTAGGCAGTTAACATTATCTCCGCAGATGAAAACATTGGGGCTGATGGAAGTCAAGAGACTTGCTTGTACTACTTACGTGGCATTAATATCCATGTCCTTATGTAAGTAATTAATGTGTTTTCTGTTAAGCCAAAGTATATATAGTTTAATAATTCAACTTGAAGGATCAAGAAACATAGCAGAATGTGATGGAAATGCAAAACAGTCCAACGACTTCGAAAAACTGGCAAATTCTTGAAGTTAAATTTGCTCCAACCCCATGACCTAGCAATTCAACTCCTGAGTACTACCCAAAGGAAATATAAATATGTGTTCACAAACAGACTGTACAGGGATGTTCATAGCAGTTTAGACATGATAGCCCAAACCCGGAAAGACCCAAATGTCCATCAAGAATGGATAAACAAAATGTGGATGTTCATAAAATGGAATAGTATTCAGCACTAAAAGGGGATAAACTATTAGTACAAAACAGATGAATCCCAAAAATATTATGCTAAGGCAGTGAAATCAGGCAAATGAGTACATACTGTATTATTTCATTTATATAGAGTTCTAGAACAAGCAAAACAATCAAAACGATGCTTTCAGGGGGTGCGTGAGAACTGACTGGAGAGAGATATGAGAACTTTCTGGGGAGATGGAAATGTTCTATATCTTGATAGAGGCGTGGATTAAATGGTCTTATCATTGTCAAAACTCATTAATTATATACTTAAGATCTGTGCATTTCACTGTATGAAATTCAAATCAATTTAAATAAATTCAAATATAGCAGAACAAATACAGATTTTCATTTTGAAATACAAACCACATCAATTTCACTCGAACCACTAGACATCTTTTTTGTTCAACAGGATAAACTTCGCTTCACTGGGTTGGGTCTATTTCTTTTTTAAATTTGCTGGAAGGTTTATTTGAGAAACCTTCAACTCCTGAAAAGCAATGCATAGAAAATTTACTTCACACACTTACTACCTTAATATGGACAGGCTCACAGAATGCCTCCTCAAATTGAACTGGAGTCCTAGTGAATTTCAGAGAGTGTTAAAACAGGAAATCTTCCATTAGTGATTTAGAAGTCTTTAAAAATTGAGGGGCTTTCTTGACCATTACTAGGAATATGAATCAAAATCAAACATAATTCCAAACTGAAATGAATGCTTTGTGGCTTAAATTCTACAGAGTAATGCTGGAAGCAAATGAACACGAGAACATGATTCCTTACTGATTTTGGAAAGGAGCTCCAAAAGGCTTTTTACCCAGGGAGGCAGAGCACGCTGGGAAAAGCCCCCAAATGGGAGTCAGGAGTCTATTCTGGATTTGGCTCCTGCCACCTACGTGGACTGGGCAGATCACTTAAGACACCACTTCCTCACCTGCCAGGTGAAAACTGGCCGAGGTTATATCTAAGGTTCATTTCAGCTAATATTACGATTGCTTAACTTGTTAAATCTTATATTAAACCTAAATAAATGTATGTGACATACAAGCCAAAAAATCCTCTAGAATTATGTAGGCTCAGTTATGGTTCTGAGTTATCTATATTCTAAAATTATGGAACTAAGAAAGACACTGACTGCAACACTCATGTATCTTGAATTAGAGATCTGAAGACTTGCATCACAGTTAGGGAAAGGGGTGCACTAATGGAAGAGTGGATTCATTTTATCCCCCCTGAGCCAGAGCAGCGATGAGAGGCAGAATTAAGTGATGCAAGTTTCATCCCCTTTCCTGTTTCCCATCTCATTCTACAGTAGAGATACTAATGAATAAGGACCCCAGAGAGAGAAATCAAAAGGAGATAAACAAGATGGGAGAATTAACTCTCAAGTTAGATAAATGCAGACTAATAAATTGTGTAAAAGTTTCAAGTTATAAAATACTTCCAATGTGAGCTGTAACTGCAACCAAATGTTAATGCTGTTTATTATTTTCTGATTATGAAACTAATATAAGCTGCAAATAATTGTGGTGTATTGCTACAGAGGAATACTATAGGCTATGAGAATAAACAAACTATTGCTACACACAACAAGGATGAATCTCACTAACATAATGTTGAATAAAAGCAGTCAGGCACAAAAGAGAATATAGTGCACGAGTCAATGTATATAAAATTCAAAAACAGGCAAAAGTAAGCTATAAAAACCAAAACCAAACCTGTTGCGGTCGAGTCGATTCCAACTCATAGCGACCCTACAGGACAGAGTAGAACTGCCCCACAGAGTTTCCAAGAAGCAGCTAGTGGCTTCAAACTGCCGACCTTTCGGTTAGCAGCCGAGCTCTTAACCACTGTGCCACCAGAGCTCCAAAAGTAAGCTATAGTGGGAGAAATCTTTCCAAACCAACACCTTTAGATATGCTGCAGTCATTTTAATGTCTGAGTTTCTCAGCATGCAGATAGGCCATGATTTATTGTAACCAATCTCCCATTCATGGATATTCAAGTTATTTCTAAAGTTTTACACCTACTAGGCATGCACCACAATTTAGTGCCATCAATTACATTAATCACATTGTACAACCATCACCAATAATCATTGCCAAATTTTCTATCACCATCAACAGAAACCTTACTGCAGAACATTCTCCTTTGGCTCTCCCCCTTTAAGGAGGGCTGTCGGAGTCAACCACCTAAACACTAAATGAGTTAGTATACATATAGCTACATACAAAGGAAATATCCCGCTGTCCCTGCACATATCAAATGACTTTTCTCCTTTGAGCTACTGATGCAACATATTAATACATTTCTTAATATTCTGAAGCTGATCATGGAGAATAGCAATTTTTTGGTATTTTACTTAAAACTGTTTGCATCTATATTCCTAAGGGAAACCTTACATTAGTAAGATAGTACATTTCTCCTAATTAATGAATCTTTTTTCTTGATCAGGTAATTTTATCAAATACCTATTTTTTATTGTTGTAAAAATATATATAACACAACATTTGCCAATTCAACATTTTTCACATGTACAATTTAGTGACATCAATTATATTAATCATGTTGCACAACCATCACAAATAATCACGGTCAAATTTCCTACCACCAACCATTGCCAAATTTCCCACCACCAACAACCACTGCAAAACTTCCCACCACCAACAACCACTGCCAAACCTCCCACCACCACCAACCACTGTCAAATTTCCCACCACCAACAACCACTGCCAAACTTCCCACCGCCAACAACCACTGCCAAACTTCCCACCGCCAACAACCACTGCCAAATTTCCCATCGCCAACAACCACTGCCAAACTTCTCACCACCAACCACTGCCAAACTTCCCACCGCCAACAACCACTGCAAAACTTCCCACCGCCAACAACCACTGCCAAACTTCTCACCACCAACAACCACTGCCAAACTTCCCACCACCAACAACCACTGCCAAACTTCCCACCACGAATAACTGTTGCCAAAATTTCCCACTACCAATAACCACTGCCAAATTTCCCATCACCAACAACCACTGCCAAATTTCCCACCAGCCATAACCATTGCCAAAATTTCCCACCACCAATAACCACTGCCAAATGTCCCACCAGCAATAACCGTTGCCAAAATTTCCCACCACTAATAGCTGTTGCCAAATTTCTCACCACCAATAACCATTGCCAAAATTTCCCACCACCAATAACCGTTGCCAAATTTCCCATCACCATCAACAGAAACTCACTGCTACCAAAACAGTGACTCTTCCTTCCCCCTCCTTCTCACCCCTGTTAACCACTAATAAAACTTGGGTCTCTATACATTTACCTATTCTAGATATTTCATATAAGTGACATCATGTCAATTAACTATCTAAATCTTTGATATATTTGATCTCTACTTGAACTCTCACAGAATGAGAATACTGAGTTAAAGTTTCTCAACTTTAACTGTATTTCTGACACTCTGACTGTATTTCTAACAATTTTGTTTCATAAATTTATATATATCATTTCTACATATTTTATATATTTTATATATATCATTTCTATATATCATCTCTCTATATATAGACTTACGTATATCATTTTACTGTAGAAAAAAGCACAAAGTACAGATAATAATATCTGTTTTTTTACTGCTTACTCTGTGCCAGGCAGTATCTAAGCACTTTATGTGTATTAACTCATTTAATATTAATGACAATTCTAGTATTATCCCCATTTTCCATACGAGAAAACTGAGGCAAAGAGAGACTTCAAGTAATTCACCCAGGTCTCACCGCTATTAAGCTGTGTAGCCTGGCTCCAGAGTCTACACGCTTTACTTCTTCATTATTAAAATCACCTGGAATCCCTTCTCTGGCAATAACAAATAAAATGCAAACTCTTATCATGGCCTACAAGGTCCTTACATGGCCAGGACCCTGTCCACCTCTGAGAAATCACCATGATCAAGCCTAAAATATTTACTATCTGGCCCTTTACAGACAAGTTTGCCAACTGCTGTTACAAACTCTTACGTTCAGACATAAATTTTAGTTCCCTTTCACCACAAGGTAAATAATTACAGCTTTTGCAATATTTTCTTAAAGCTCAACCATGACTAGCTCAAGCAGAATTAATTAATAAAATTCTTTAAATTCAAAATCTTGGAAAAGGAGTTTACTTAAAAGTGACTGTCATTTATATTTTACAATAGAAATCTAACATTCAACAATCCCTGTTGGATTAATTACAATGCTGGCTAGAATTTCGCTGCAGTTAGACACAGGAGCACTGTGCACTGCGTCTACCACTGGACTCCCAGTATTTTTACTTTTGTGCACACATGCACATCAACACCAATCTTGCACCGTTTGAACCTCTCATTCCTGTCATGCCCCGTGCCCATAATACCATCTTGTCTCTTGACCTAGGAGAACCTATTCAACCTCAAGGCTTAATTCAAGTTCCATCTCCATAAAACGCTGGTGCTATGTCAATGATCACTCCACCTAGAGGTGACACTGCTTTCCTTGAACTACCAGAACACTCACACTTTAATGCTTTTAAGACAATTACCATACATTGCTAGTTACAAATGACATTAAGACCTTAGGCTTGGGGTGAGAATACCTGGGGGATTTGGGTCCCAGCTCCCCCACTTACTAGCTGTGTGAGTTTGGGCAACTTACTTAACTTCTCTGTGCTTTCATTTCAAAATCTGTAAAATGAGGATAATAATAGTACAAACACTATGGAGTTGTTATGAAGATTAAATGAATTAATACATATCAAGTGCTTATAGCAAGGGCACACACTGTTGGCTATTATTATTGTTTGGCTATTCACCACATCCTCCCAACAGAACTATTCATCACAAAGCACATGGACAACAAACCTTCAGGGTCATAACATGTACTTTTCATGCACATTGCACCTGTGCACTGCAAGTATCACAACCATTTCTTTTAGGTAAATTGTTACACCTTCTAGCACCAGGACATGGTGCAAAGAACTGGGCTTTAATCAGAAAGACTTGAACCCCAAATAGAGTGGCATAATGTATTTCATTTCAGGGAGGTATTTAACCTCCCCTCAATTTCTTAATCTGTAAAATTGGAATAATGTCTACTTTACACGACTGTGTAAGACCAAATTACTTAGTTAAGCATCTCAGCATCATGTCTGGTTCATAGTAAGCACACCATAAATTTTAGTTCCCTGTCCCTTCTTCCCACGAGATAAATATTTACAGCTTCTGCAACATTTTCTTAAAGCTCAACCATGACTATCTTATGCAGAATTAATTAATAAAATTCTTTAAATTCAAAATCTTGCAAAACGAGTTTACTTAAAAGTAACTGTCATTCATATTTTACAATATAAATCTAAACGCATGATAACATAAAAACAAGAAGTCATCTACATTTTTAAAAGACGTGTTTTAGACATTACCATTGACCAAACCCGTTGCTGTTGAGTCCATTCCGACTCACAGCGACTCTACAGGACAGAGTAGAACTGCCCCATAGGGTTTCCAAGGCTGTAATCTTTAGGGAGCAGACTGCCACATCTTTTTCCCACGGAGCGGTTGGTGGGTTCCAACTGCAGACCTTTCAGTTAGCAGTCGAGCGCTTAACCACTGCGCAACCAGGGCTCCTCCTTTTTACACATTAAAGACATTTTAAAGACATTTTTCAAAAGTCTTCTGAATATTCTGCTCCCAAGGCGCAAGACATTCACATACATCATCCTATCAGACAACGCTTCACTTCCAATGGTGAGGCTGAAACCAGCGTTTCACATGTAAAGACCACCAAGAAATACGCAGCAAAACAGGGCAGACCACGACGGCCAGACCTCTCCAACTTTTTTTTTTTCTAAACTGTGTTAATACACTGAACAATCACATTTTCAGTCTCCTGGCAGGACTGTGAAAAAAACCATTGTTCGTTTCAAACTTGAGAGACTACAAAGTTTGCTAGATAGCAGATAATGCAGCCAAAATTCTCTCCCATCGCCCGGCACTTGCTGCGAGCCTGACGGCAAGCGAGGCTCGAACCCGACTCTAGCCCATACCCTGCTTTACAAACACGGCGCGGAAAAGTTGCTTGTAAAATCACCATTTGTAAGCATTAAACCACAGTTTACCACTTTATGGTACAAAACCCTAGAACAGTCGAGTTCAGGAAGAGGCGGAAGAGAAGCGATCCTCAACCACGTTAACGCCTTTTCCCTAAGCGCTCCCTGCTTCACGGGGCTCCCCACTTTTCGTAGCCTTTCCGGACTCCGACCATCTACCTTCCTAAAGCAAAGAACTGGCTACACAGGGATGTCTGGACAACACGCTTACAGCTTTATCCTCGTCCTCCTTCTTTAAGCATTTACAACCAAACAGCCAGGTTGTACTACCCGTCTCTGATCAAACGCGATCACCCTCAAAGCCTCAAAATCCGCTCCACCTCAACAGCTGTTCTAGGAATCAACTTGCTAGTTTGCCATTTCTTTAAGCTCGAAACTCTGCATTAAGCCTGAGAGTCTAGGTCCTTCCTCGCCCTCACCCACTCCCCGAAGGAAAGAGAAAGGATGAAGTGAGACCAACCTATCCCAGAAAATCAACACCAAGTAGCAAGTAAGCCGCCAGATCTCAAAGCTCGCACTCACCAGCGTTCAGGGAGAGGCGCAGGAACCCCCCAACCCCCAGAGCGCAGCGCTGTTGAACCATGAGGTTGCAAAGGGCGCCATCGCTAGGCCCGAACGGCCGATCCTCCCGGGACCCCCTGACCCCGTCCCCGCGGCCAATCCTCCCTGGGACCCCTGGAACCCGTCCCCCGCGGCCGATCCTCCCCGGGACTCCCGGACCCCGTCCCCCGCGGCCGATCCTTCCCGGGACCCCGGCCGCCGAGCCGCAGCCTTTTCCTGCATTAACTGGTCTGGGCTCGGCAGCTCGCGCACGCATTCATGCAAGAAAGTTCAAGGGGGGAACAAGGGTGGCTGGACAGACCTACTTTTGCGCCAGAACCTGCCACGCCAGCCTCCGGAGGGCTCGGGGAGAACGGCTCGCTATAATCCACCTCCTGGAACCACAACGGCCGAGACGGTTTTGGCCGCAGGGCTCAGAAACGGTCCTTTGTGCCGGATGCCCACCCTTGCGCCGCGAGCCCCAGAGACCCCCTACAACCGGTACCGGGTCCGGCTCGCGACGTCAGGGTTCCCACGCTCTCGGCCGGGGGTGGGGTAGGCCCCAGCTGACCAATCAGGGGACGCCAACAGACACGCCCTGGCAGTTGAGCGGCCAATCGCGCCGGAGCCTGAGAGGCCGTAGGGGGCGTTGCTTGGGAGACAGCTGCTGGGCGGGGCCTTGCTTCACTGAGAGGCGGGGCTCGGCTCGGAGAGCCCAGGGTGGGTGGGGTTGGGATGGAGCGGTAAATGGAAGAGGCGCGAGGCCCCCACATGGCCAGCGGTTTCTGCGGCTGCGCAGAAGCGTCTGCGCGCGCGACTCTTCCAACGGCAACGGTTCACGACGGCGGCTCGAGGCGGTGAGACCGTTAGTCGCGCGGCCTCCCCACATTCTTTGATTTTTTTTTTTTTTTACCGTTAACCGGCAGTGTGATCCCGCCCCTTCCCCGCCCCCTGTGACGCACCACAGCTGTCGCCGTTGACTGGTCTCAGGTCTGCACGCCAGCTGTTTAATGTGGGTGGGGGAGGGCCTCAGGCGTTTCCCTAAGCATGATCTGGGACAGAAATGGGACAAGGTATTTCCAGTCTTCGATAACCATATACAGGGGGGAGAGGTGACACAGACCCTGGAGCCACACCGCCTGGCTTTGAACCTTGAACCCCAGCTTCAACACTTAGGAGCTCTATGGCCCTGGCAAGTCAACTAACGTCTCTGTGCCTCAGTTTTCCCATCTGTAAAATGGGTATAACGTGGGGATTACAGACGTTAATGTGTGCAAAGTACTTAGAACAGGACCTGGCTCATAAATTTGCTATGTAATAAAGGGTCCATGACATTATCTGGTGACATACCATCTTATATAGTATATCAAGGCTGCCAATCTTGGGAAGGAGGCACCATTTGGGTAATTAGATGTAAAGTCAGTAGGTATTTCAAAGTAAAGCTGTGAATCTTTTCTTGTCCCAGAGAGGAGCTCAAGAAAAGTACACGAACCAAAAACAAAACCCATTGCCGTCGAGTCGATTCCGACTCATAGCAACCCTATAGGACAGAGCGGAACTGCCCCATAGGGCTTCCAAGGAGCTCCTGGTGGATTCGAACTGCCGACCTTTTGGTTAGCAGCTGAACTCTTAACCACTACGCCACCAGGGTTTCCCAAGAAAAGTATACTAGACGTTGGAAATGTATTCTTTTTCCTCTCGAACACAAAGGTAGACAAGAGCCCATTATAGTATAGCATTTATTTTTTTGCTACTGCTTTTGCCATAATGGTTCCCCTCCTTTATGTCTGGTTGCCTATAAAACACTGTTTGTAAAACCCCAAGAATGCAATTACTTAACAAAGAAAAGAGAGAAACTGATTATTTCATTGCAGTCACGTTTATTTGCAGTTTCTATACACACTTTCTAGGTAATCAAACTTTTCTGATACATTTTTTGGAGAGGGGTTCACAATGAAACTGTCACCATTTTTACTAAAAATAAATACAAGACTTAAAGTGTTGCACAGCTCTAAAATATACAAAGGCTTGGATTGAATGTAAACGTTGAAAACATCTTACAAAAGAAACCATCTTTGCAACAATTAAAAAAGTTCATATTTACAAATATTACAAAAATACAAAATGGATGCAAGTCCACAAACCATTGTCTTTTCGGCCAGCATGAACTGGTTCTAGTACCAAAATAGTTACACTGTAACCTTCTTAATAGTTTTAAAATCTTTTGTCTTGATTTAGTTCTTTAAATCTGCCAACACTGCAGCAAATGTACTCACTCGCTGACCTCTGGCAAGAGCAAACAGTGTATTTTGTTTGCTACCACTAGTCCATGTCCTCTACTTAGCCAAAAAAGAAAAATTAAAAAAAAGCAAGCAACAAAAAATTACCCCACACAACATAGACCTGGTTGTATAAACATAAAAGGACAAAAAAATTAACATCAGTGCAAACAACAGAAGAAAAGTTTGGATTGATGTTCTTCATGATACCTAATGTGTGCACCCTGCTTCAAGACAGCAGTGATGTTAAAATCAGCCCTAAATCTTGGTTTTGAGTGCTTGAAAGCCATGTAGAATATTTCAGATTACTAAGGAATTTCTTGCTTTTTTACTCTGTTTGTTACTCAATACTCTTTTCCACAGTGAATTTTAAATCCATCTTTATTTGGGTTTTTTTATTTAAATCTATGAAATATAAAATAGAGAAACTCTGCTATAGATTTTTAGAGTAAACAAAATAAGTAAAACTATATTATAAGGGTTAGTTCTGTGATCATTACATATAGAAGCTATCTTATTGCCTCACAATTCAAGTCAATATGTATTTTAAAATATATATGGTACCATTACTTAAATTAATCTCAATAATAAAAAGGTGATATTTTTATTAAAGCCAATTCATGTGTTTTCTATTCAAGATTTAGAATCATTTTTACAGCCTACATACCTTTCTTTAAGCTTAAAAAAACTCCTAACTACACAAAAGCCATACTGCAAACGAACTGCTTTTATGAAAATTACAAAAGATCACCTATTGTGACTGGAAATGACTGTTTCCTATCACATTTGTCTAAAAACTTTATTTTTAAAACTTTGCCAAGTGTACTTTTCAAAGCATGAGAAAAAAATTTACTCATGTTCCCATGTGGTGTCAGACCATGCTGGTTTTCTTAACTGATGGGTTCCAATGACAAATGGTGGTCCAGTTTTTCAAACCCCAGAACATTTTTCTTTTAATAAAAATTATAACACTTTGTAAATGTTCAAACCCTTTACCAATAGCTTATCTATCCCAGCACACACACACACGCACACACATACACACACACATATACACACACAATACTCTCTCCTTCTCTACCCCTCCACCCCCAGCACCCATTTTACATACAAGGATGACAAGAAATCAAGAAATACAATTTGGTAGTAAAACCAATATTAGAAGAAACCAGACATTTTTTTTTCTTTACAAACAAACAAAAAACCAACAGCAATCAGATACTCCAATTCCTAATCTGTAACATCTCAGAAAGTGTTTCTATTGAAAGACAGTATCTTCTTAGACCAGGCTTTCCCCTTCATACTGCATGAATTAAATCAAAACCACAAACCCCCTTTCACACATGCTATTTTCCCAAATACCACTTGCATAAGCTTAAAGCCTGCTGCTCATGAATTTCTTGGTAACCCTGGTATGTTCGATCATTCTAACCACATTCTATTCTTTTATAGACCATATCTCTTCTTAGTTCTCTCTACTTTCTACCTCCTCCCATTCAAAACATATTCTAAGTACATAGCTGCTTATATTTCTGACATATAGTTTCAGACATTAGTCTCAGTTCATGTTAAAATCAGAGGTGTAAAGACTGTTTGAAGATTTCAACTTGTAAATACATTTTTCTTTCAGTTTTAAGACAAGAAAATTCAAGTAATTTCAAGTAATTCAGCTTGTTTCCCTGCCTTCATTTTATCAGAGCACTTGCCCTGACATTTCCTTTCCCACCCACCACCCCTCCCGTTGCCATCAAGCACATACAGTAAAACCAGACAAAACTCAGTTGTATGTAGCATTGTGAACCGGAGCTATTCCCCATTCCCAATTTAACAGTGACTATAAATAATGCATATACATACCTATTTCCCAGCTACATTGTTCACAGTGTCATTTCTGTTAATTTTTAGGTAGCATGAATCTCGTCAGCACAGAGAGAAAGCTTCACTGAACTCATTGCAGGTACTTACTGATAAGTCAACAGCTCGGTGGCATGCTTAGGTTTTATTTTTGTTAGTTTAAGAACCTGGAGCTAATTGCTAAACTGTTTAAGGACTTTAAAAGATTATAGTCATTAGATTATGACTGTTTATATCCCCAGTAGCCTAATATAAAACATAACCTAAAATGAACTACTGTTTTCCCTACTCATTCTCGTTAAAGCAATCCATTGAAAAATTAAAATCGAAAGGACACTGTCAAATGCTGTTGTTCAGGGCTTTGTGTTGAGAGTGATGACTTCTCTCATTAATTAAAAGAAAAAATCAGAAGCATGCTTTTCATTCTGCCCAAATAACCATGTGGCAAATCACAGCCACGCATTGCTATTAGCTTGTTTGGTACTGAAATTTGTCACAAGAAATGGTTAAGTCTGAATTCATTATTTTAAATTAATCACATTTCAGTCCATGACCTCAAGATTTCCTTTTTTCACCAGTTTAAGATTCATAGTTGAGGTTTATCATTCAGAAAATCATATTGGTGGACATTTAAATATGTTATTTGATATGAAAATGGTATTCACAGAATACAATTATTACATCTTATTTTTTGTTTTCTATAAACAGTTGGTGTGCGGTAAATAATTGGCCACATGTCCACTCGTCATTGATAAATCTATTTACACATTTTTATCAAAAATATGGTATTTACATATGTGTAGTTCTTCTAAATTTTGCTCTAGTTCATTTTAATGTAAAAAAATACCAAACCTCCAGAGTTATTTCATCTTCTTAAAGAATCATGACAGTGAGGGGTTTTAGTTTCTGAATAGGCAGCTCTGGGAAAACTTTTTCTACGTTTCTTGAAAAGTAGATATTTTTGAACTCTACATTATCAAAAGGAATGCGATTGGGTTAATCAAACTAAGGTAAAGAAAAAGATGAAAGACAGTGCAACTACTTAAAAAAATGCAAAAAATAAAGAATTACTAAACTACCTCCTGTTCCCCAGTATGTATTTAGAAATTCATTGGTAAGCAGTGATGGTACCCCATGGTTTTCTGACTCCTCCTGAGTTCTCTCTTGCCTTCCAACATTCTCGTATAACTAAGGGTTTTGACATCTGATAGGCCTCCTGGTCCAGGCCGCCTAGGTTGAGCTCTGGGAGGATCGGTCATCATGTGGGCTGCCGTCGGAATTTTCTGTCTCGCCCTCAGAGATAGCCTGCATGGGAGTGTTGTACAGCCGGCAGCGGACACTGTAACGGCTGCTGCTGGCTGCAGGGGGTGCCCGGGAACGTCCAACCCTTGCTGATGCTGAGGTGGCAAAGTTCTTTGAGGAAAACCCCTCTGCATTCACTCGTGGGGAGCAGGGAGAGAGAGGGGACAGTGCCTCTGCCCCAGGTGACACCTGATGGGCCTCATCGGTGACCTGAGAGGAATCAATGGTGAGATCCCCAGGGGGTTTGGGTAGGATGGGACTCTTCAGGATCTCGGTGGCAGACATGCGGTAACTGGAATCTGAGCGGCTGCCTTTCTTGAGAAGTAACAGCTTAAACTCTTCGTTTGATGTGTTGGACTTTTTGGCATTTCGGTAGATGAGCCCAGGAGACCTCTGGCTGGTTGGGGTTGTCACATTGCTGCTGGGTGAAGTGATGGAACCAGCACTGCTGCCACTGCTCCCACCGGAAATTCTGGATTTACTTCGAACAGACATGTCCCCAGAATCTTTTCTTCCAAGTACTTTCCTCTTGGATCTTTGGAGAAAGGAGAAATGAGGCACAAATCTCAGTCCACATAGATTTTTATGAAACTAAAAGTGTTAAGGCACATTCACTCACTTAAGAGCATTCTGAGTGCATCCTGTGTGACCGGATACTAAGCGATTGGGTGCTAGAGATGAGGAGCAAGATACATTCCTTGCCCTTGCAGCACTCACAGCCTGTGGGAAATTCTCTGATGACCAGTGGACATAAATTAAATTCTGAAATGACCGTTTAAAATTATTAATAATGTGGAGGCTAGAGGTTCTAGAGGAAGGCTTACTGGGAAGTTTTGCAAGAGCATAAGAAAATATTGCTGTCTGACTCCAGTGTGAGTGGTGAAGAATGGTAGCTTTCTCTCATCTAATCTGTCTCAGTAATACAGATAAAATGCTCTGTTGTCTGGGATGGGCTTCCAAATAGTACAGGAGGGAGGACATGGATGGAGGTGTGGATGGGACAGGATTGGCCATAGGTTGATGGTTGATAGGCCTGGATGATGGTGCATTATACTATTCTGTCTTCATTTTTCATTCCTCCATATAAAAATTTTTAAAAATGACTTTTAAAATAAATCAATCCATCTTTGGCTGCAAATACCATTTCCAGAGCTGCGTGGTAACATCAACTTGTGAAGCACTAAGCCAACACTCTGTGAACAATGAAAATACAGACCATCTCTGGAGCTCTTAAAGCTTTGTACACGGTAAGCTCTCAAGAAAACATAGCAATCCTTGACACTATGATGTCAATAAATAGATGAATAAATACTACACAAATGCAAATCTGCGATTATCAAACTCAGTAATCTACCGAACCTAGGCACCCATCATTCTATTACCAAGATTCTTTTGATAAGTAAACAGACGTAAATTCAATGACTCTTTAGTGTTTGCTGAAAATTTATCTCAGTTCATTGATAAGTCTTGGCAACATGCTCTCTTACCAACTTAAAAATCTATAAAGTAGAGAGAACGTAAGCTTTGAAATTGGACACCAGCCTGGTTTTGGTTTATTAAAATCTCTGTGGCTAATATCTTGCATATGCAAGAGTCTAGCACTCCAACAGGGTAGGATTTTCAAACTAACGTTTGCTTTTATCATCTATTGTATTCTATACACCAAAATGTTATTTTATCATCAAAATCGAATATGTGAGCTATAGTTATCCCCATTTATAGTAATGGAATAGGTACAGGGGTTTTAATTGATTAAAGACTGCATAGAAAGTGGCACAGTTGGGATTCAAATCCAGGTCTTTATGACTCCATTACTTATGTTCTTTCCACTATTCTAAGCACTGGCATTTGGTTCTTTGGGGTAAGAACTTGGCTCTGTAACTTGCATAGCATTTTTGTAATTTGTCCTAAGGTTGAGGATAAAGGGGGGAGTGGCGGTGAGGGGAATATAATTGGAGCTTAGACTAGACATGGGGACAAACAAAAATAAAGCAATGATTCTCCATCCTCAGAGAGGAGAAATGTGCCTGCTAATTATATACAGAAGGTAATTCTTATCAGCTCCTTAAGAGTAATGTTCCTCCTTTATGAGAGAATCACATCAACAGAAAACAGAAGTTCCCTTAAAGAATAGGATCCCAGGAGAAAAGATTGTAGGCTGTTTGCAAAGAATTTGCTACAAAAATGATAACTTAATGTGGTAGAAAAGATAGTCCCCAAGTTTTGCCCCCTGGGAGTGCCATCTAGGTCACCGAGGCCTAGTGTAAGAAGGCAGTCATATTGGTGAAAAGGATTAGGCACGTCATGATTGAATAGCTCAGTCTGACATGAGTTCAGTTTCCAAGGGTTAGTTCTCCCTCTGTTCTTTGGTCACAGGCTTGCAAATATGGGCCATTGATCACAAGGGTATGGGGGGCAGATGAGACAGTGTGAATGGGCAGCATGGACACAGCACTGTCCTGGAAAGCAACCCAGAGGACATCCCCTCCTGCTGCCGGGACATGGGCATCAAGAATTTTAGAGATGAAGGCCAGTACTATCAAAGAAATTTAAGTTTTAAGAGGAGAGAAAAGAAAAGGAGTAATGATGAACTGTTCTGAGATATGAAATAGTCAGGTATATATGGTCTTGCCTCAAACTTGGGGCTCTGATTGGTGAAACAACTTATGTCTGTCTCTGCTAGTGTGATTATGCTGGAGTTTGTGTTCTCACTCTAAGTTACTTAACCACAAATTGTTTTCAAATAAAAACTTGTTCCAGAATGTCTCTCTGGGCGGGGGGCATCTTCCCTCAGCAGTTCTTATAAAATTCCCGCCTATGAGGTCTACCTAATTATATATACAGATTCATATTTCCCAGCTTTTTCCCAATTTGAATGTAAGTCTACCAACTTGATTTGGAAAAAGTTTGTCTTTGCTTGCTTTTGTTTTTGCTGAATATATTTTAAGTACAAAAGGTTTTCCTGTATTTGCATTTGATGAGAAGCAGCTTAAGAAGCAAAACTGTTGTTGTGCCTTTTGTTGTTTAAAAAAACGAAACAAAACTACCAAACCCGTTGCTGTCAAGTCGATTCCGACTCATAGCGATCCTATAGGACAGGACAGGACTGCCCCCTAGGGTTTCCAAGGATCGGCTGGTGGATTTGAACTGCTGACCTATTCGTTAGCAGCCAAGCTCTTAACCACTACACCACCAGGGCTCCTTTTGTTGTTTGGGACTTGGTAATATTGTCTCACCTGTGAATGACTGCGAATAAATCCTCAGTTGTTCGAGGTTTGTTTGGAGACACGAACGCCCCTTCCACTTCAGCTTGGGAGTCTTCACTAAGTGGTGAAATGATGGAGTCGTCACTTGGTGATGATTCTTGAAATAAGAACAGAAGTACCTTTAGGAGGAAGTTACTAGCACACCACTGGCTTCACTGATTCGGGGAACAAACAAACAGGAGTTACCTTACTGCTACTTCTAAAATGAGATATCTGTCAAAGCTTAATCCCTCAATAACAACAGCTTATATCTCAACTTTTATAATAAGTGAAAATAAACCGTGGAAGGAAACCAAAATCCAGGGATGTACAGTATCATGGGGAATGTAAGAAAAAAAATTTTAGGACACATCATAAGACACATATCTATTGTGACAAAGGTATCAACAACTGACCTTTCAGTGAAGCCTCGTCTGTACTTCCTTGGGTCTCCTCTGCTCTGCTGTTATCAGAGGCACTTTTGGCTGAAATACCTGAAGCAATATTTTCCTGCTGAGAACATTTGTCAGGGACTGAATTTACAGTTGATATCTCTGATTCATAGCTGATATTCCCAGGCACTTTGTCATGGTGGTGGCTCATAGCAAGTTGATGCTTAAGTTGATTGCTTATGTCTGTTGCTCTAGTTGGTGAGTTGGATTGGGATGTGATTACATCCACAGATTCAGGTTGTGCAACTTCCTCCCAGTCTACAGAGGTTGCCTTCTGTACCTGTTCTAGGGTTTCATCTAGACCAGCCCCATATTGTGTTATTTTACCATCAAAATCATTTGAGTGGGCAGCAGAGACCCTCTGAAATTCTTCTGGGGAAAAGTCATAGTTTTTACTTGGTGTGTTTCCTGGAATAGGCTCACTCTCCATCTGTATTTGGTCCTTTGTGACATTTGAGTCTAGAAGATTGCTACCAGCTGAGGTTGCAGTTTCTGGATCACAATGATTCTTCACATCAAAAGTAGGTTTTTTTCCTAAATGTAGTTTATCTGGTCCCGTCTCAACCACAGAGGTGTCTAAAAAGGACAGTATGGCGTCTTCAGTGGAGTACTGACGTGATAGTGATTTCCTAGCTATGTGTGGCCTCATCTTCCCTGGAGACAAGGCAGCCATTGTGAGAGTGCTTTCGTCTAAGTAGGGGAGATCTGTATTGTTGCCTTCTGTTTGCTTAGCTTCTTCAGACTTACTGATGGACCTAAGATTAACAGATTTCAGGACTGTTGGTGTAATTGCAAGGGATGGTGGCGGATTCGACCTCAGTGTATCTCCTACTGTGTTCTGCTTGTTATGACTAAAAACATGCAATGGATGGCGATGGTGGAATGGTTTATTCAAGACATTATGAAGAGCACTTAGGTCAAGATGAGTAGGAGGTATAATTGGAAGTTCAAGGTCTTTACTCAATGATAGAGTTCCATCTTTTAAAGAGGGTTGTTGTAGGGAGGATTTCCTTTCTGGGACTTTAGGTTTTCTTTTGCTACCTCCAGGAGACAATGGGCCAGAAAAGAAAGCTGTAGGGAAAGAGGATGTTGGTGTTTCAGACTGGCTTGAATAGCCACTTGATGGAGATGCCAAGCCAGCCAGCTTCTCTGGTGAAACCAGTTTAAACTCATTGTCAACAGAAGGTAGGGATGGGGTGGTGGCTCTTGATTCTGATTGGGATGTTTGGGATTCAGAGCTCTCTGGAGATTTGATGCATTCGATTACTGTGGTACCCGTAGCAGTGCTTGAATTAGATAAAGATCTATAAGGATCATTTGTTTTCAAGTCATTGAGAAGCCAGAGATCTGCATAGTGAGTTGATTCAGCACCTTCATCTTTGAATGGTGGAATATCTGAAGTGTCTAATTGAGGTTCCTTAATACCATGTTCACTCTGGTTCATCCAAGAAGGTTCTTGCTTGGTCGGAAGATTGGCATTTTCCATCCGAGAAGGCGTGTTGGAGAAATCAAGAGGCAGCTTCATTTCCCTGGAACTGTGAGGCAGGTGCTGACCACTGCTTATCTTTGGTTCTTTCTTCTCAGAAATATCTGCATTTCCTTCGGACTTCCTCAACGATGAGCTACGCTTAGGCGGGGTAGGCTTTGCCTTTGGTTTTCTGAAAGAGATGCTTGGTTTCCCTTGCCTTCTGTGGTCTGAGTAGTCTGGCCAGGCACAGTCTGGAACACCAGGAGGAACCCCAACACCCTGGCCATTCTCGGGGCCCAGGGCTGCATAGTGACAGACATAACTCTTATTACCTTTGAGACCACAGTCAAAATGCATGGAGGTATAGTACCCTTCCGTGTCCACTGAAAAGTGAGAGCTAGTGTCGGCTTTGTCCGATGGAGACTTTTCCAGGAAGCTGTCATAAGTGGCCATGCTCGTGAAGCTTGGGCAGCCCAGGCTGTCAGCCTTGGGACACTCAGGACTAAAATCCTGGCGGCAAGAGGCATCATGATGGTGGTGTAGGTAGTTCCACTCGCTGTCACTTGTGTTGCTGTTGTTGGGGTCATCCAGGAGATCTGCAACAGTGGAGGTAAAGGAGTTTGCCCGGTGGCCTCTCACTTTATCCACATGGTCATTGTATTGCTCCGTCACGAAGACACTGGAGTCCTCATTAGCATGAGGGGCCGTGTTTAGTGACAACTCTGAGTCACAGTGCGAAGAGCCAGTGAGGGGAGGAGACGCTGCAGGAGGGATTGTCTCTGAGGTCTGTGAGGGGCACGTGGAGCTGCTCCCACTCCAGTTTCCACTGGATGACTGGTGGTCGTCTTTCTGGTCCATGTGGCTGCTAAGGAGGACACCAGCTGTGGAGATGCAGTGGATGGGGCTCCCAAAGGTATCCGAGTTGGAGGAGATGTCACAGCTGCCAGAGTCGGCAGCCATTCTGGACAGACGAGACCGCCCTCTCTCACTTAACTTGTGCTGGGGGCTGTGAAGGTGTTGAGAACAGGCCAGGCCCAAAGCAGGCTGGTTTTCTTGTGCACTTGGGCTGCTGGTGGCCTCACTGCAATCATTGGGGGCTCTTTCATGGTCACCCACAAAAGGCTCCCCCTCTTCATATGCTGAGGGTTTAGCACCAACTTTAGGCTCAGCATCCCCACCTCTGTTACCCTCCCGCGGCAGGCTCCGAGATCTCGTGCGGCTGCTCACTGCAGTGGTAAACATGGTGTCGCCTTTGTCTGCCAGTGAAGAGATGTTGCCAGCAGAATGAGAAAGGGAAGCTGCAATGCTCTGACCCCTTTGAGCTCTGATTCTCCTTCTGGATGGAGCGGCAATAAGAATATCCTCAGTTTGGCACTCAGAGTCCCTGGTTCCGGACCTCCTATTGACAGCGCTGGAGGGGTCTGGATTTGTGTGCACAATCACATTCCTTTCCCTGGCCACTGGTGATTCATCAGAATCTAGGGCACATGGAAAGCACAGTGAGATGTTTTATACATTAGCAGGCTAACATACATTCTGAGAGATAGCCACACATCTATGTACATATATAAAATCAGTATATAAAATTAGGAGACAGTTAAAAATGCTTTAAGGAGTTATCTATCTATCTACACACATTTGAAGAGAAGATATTCTTGTATAGCTTTTGTGAATTATTGTTCTCTTCACTATCAAATTACTTTGTCCCGATAAGTGATTACTATGTATATGTATGTGTGTGTGTGTGTGTGTGTGTGTGTATTTTTTTACTAAAGTACATTTTATCTTCTTGGCACCCCTACAATATACTCTTCATTTTTATTTTATAATATAAACATAGTGAAATAAAACCGTAGAATTCATTATAAGAAATAAAAATCTTATTTACAAGAAATTCTACTATAGTAATTTAAAAAACATAGTCGATGTTCTAAAATCATTGAACAGAAAAAAATAGAAAAATGTCTCCAAGGGTATATCATATTGCCAATATTCAATATTTAATTGGATATGCTTGAAATTTACCTTTTGAAATAATTAATGCCATAAAAGTATCTCTCTTCAAATAGTTACAATTTACCAAAAAATTCTTTCATTGAATCTTGCTCCTTTTTATTCACAATTTCTACCTTAATAAAACTTTTAAAAATTAGCAAAAAGATTACATTTCAATCGTAAGACCTGGACTTACATGCTGAAATCCATAAGGTCAAAACTTCACAGAGAACAGAGATTTAAAATGTAATATCACCCGGCTTGCTGAATACTAAACAAATACACACCACTTTAAAACTCTACAAGGTAAAACATTTAATATTTTTAGGGAAGCTGGTTGAAGGCCAGCTTCCATTTCATCTCCTTATAACCTGCAGTAGACAGAATGTTAACCATTAACATTTTTTTATACCGCACCTATTTCTTGTTGGACTCTTCTGGGGATACCCGAGATGGTTTTCCTCCTCCTCAATTTGCGTCTCCGCTGTAGTACGGATTGTGAATGAACAAGAGAGCAGCGTATACTAGCTTCTCTGTCAAAACCGACTCCTGCAACCCACAAATAGGTCTCATTAGCCTTTAGAAATGGCAAACAAATTTTCATTTGCTTGGAACACAGTGATATTTATTGATTGGAAGTAAAGGAAGAGTTTGGATTACGCCTGTGAACAAATATAAGGAAGCCCTTATTCAGCTCTTATTTAAATCATGCTGCAGTACATTAAGCTTTACTTCTAAATGCAGCTCTCCCCAGCAGCTTTCCCTGCCAAAAGTAACAAACAAAGAAGGAAAATCGAAAGAAAGAGAAGAGAAAAATAACATCAAAAAATCACTTTCACACACAGAAATGGCTCTCTGAGGACTTAAAACCTTTAGTTACTACTATTTTCTGGGCTCTTGGAAGCTGATACCTTTGCATAGTAGATCAGTAGCCAAGATGTCAACCTGAATTAGTTCAGCTAACATAAGCTGACCCTTTTCTTCCTTAAAAGTATCTTTGTGTGTTTTTTTTCCTCCACCTTCTGTGCCCAAACCTTCCCTTTCACCCCAAACACACACACACACACACACACACACACACACACCATCTATGGGAACACTCAACAACCTCGAGAGTTTTCTTTTTAAATCTTCATGTAACTCCTGCTGACTAAATTGGATAATTTTTAGTTTAGCACCAGGTGTCTTATCAGTATAAAATAAAAAACACGGGGCAGTCCCCAATCCTACACTTAAATGGATTCACCCTCTGTAGCAACTGTAAAGCTGGATCCCATCTGTTTGTTTTGGTAAACAGGGCACAAACCATGATGTTTGTTAGTTTGACTCTCCATCATCACAGTAATGACACTGCATGCAGTCCTAGCAAAACTAGAAGGATGAGGGGGGCGATAAGGAACCCCTCCCCTTATCTGACACAGGCATACAACATGCATTTTTCAGAGTGAGCTTTGCCTCAGAAAGATATAATAGTGTGCTTTGGAATCTGGTCGCCTCATCACTTATCCTGATTGTTAAGTGCAGGGCAGGATGACATGTTAAATCTTGGCTCAGCTATATAATGAAGCAGTTTTAGTTCAGCTTAAGATCACAGTGCCAGCAGTTTCTAGAACTCACTTTGAAAACTCTGTATGAGATACCACAGATGAATACATTACAATATTATCAGAGAGTTAGCACTAATGGCATTATCCTTTCTTAGTTCTAACCCCAAACTGAAATCCTTCATTCTAATCTTAAAAGGGTGATTATAGGACACAGAGCGTACAGAGACAGACATTGTGTATTATGTGGATGTTATTAATAATTTTTTTCATTAAAGCTCTTAAAATCAACATATAACCTAGGCTTTAGTCTGAGCGTTCCTGAAATAAAGCCAAAGAAAAAATATTCCCTTTTCTTTAATCACAAAACGATGGCCCATAATCATACTACTCAAAACAAAAACCATTGCCGTCAAGTTGATTCCGACACATAGTGACCCTATAGGACAGAGTAGAATGGCCCCATGGGGTTTCCAAGGCTGTAATCTTTAGGGAAGCAGACTGCCACATCTTTCACTCGCGATGCGGCTGGTGGGTTTGAACTGCCAACTTTTCAGTTAGCAGCTGAGCGCTTAACCGCTGTGCCACCAGGTCTCCTTATAGTCATAGTACTAAATTTGAAAACAAGATTTTACTTACAGTGCCATGAAGAAAACAGGTGCTGCTAGCAATCAGATGTTCCCAGAGCTGAAAGTTAGCTTAAGAGGGTGCCAAAATGATCTATTTTGGCAGCTGAACTTCCCTAATACATCCCATGTAGATTATGAAGGTCAGATAAGTGTACATCCTTAGCATAATTTAGCCTACAAGAATTAACTCCCAGCTCACGATGATCAACTAGAACTCTCTTTTTTCAGGAAGGGAATAATATCTGTCCCAGATACCTAGTCACCATTTGCTCCCCTCTTTATGTGAGAGAAATTTGAGTGGGGTTAATAATAGCCATGTCCAAAACGCATCTCAGGAAGTATGTAATCTTTAGTCACAGAGTACCAGAATGAAAAAGAGTCAAAATATAGCTGTTCTGAAAATTTCAATATACAATTAAAGTGTAACTATTAGCGATGTTTAAAGAAAGACCAATGGATAGATCCTTTAATTTCTATCTTTGAAAATTAGAATGTGTTATAACACTATTTTACTTACAACTAAGATTACCAGATCCAATTCTGGAATTTGAAATTGCTGCTGATAAACTTTTAAAGAAAAATGCAGACAGACTTCCATTCTACCTAGACTAATGTTCAAACTATTGTTACACAGGGGGAGGGAAGCCGAGAGTGAGAGACGGGCTTGCTGGTTTTAGAATACGATTCAGCCTTCATCTGTGTATCCATAAATTCTTAGGTCAAAAATCCCCTAAAAGTCAAAACAGAGGTCTAAATGGTCTTTTTTTAAAAGCCTGCCTTCATCCAAGGAAGCATGAAAACAAATTTTATCATTGGCCTATACGACCATTTAAGAGCCTTGGTGACGCAGTGGTTAAGCGCTTGGCTGCTAACTGAAAGGTTGGCAGTTCGAACCCACCAGCTGCTCCTCCGGAGAAAGATGCGGCAGTCTGCTCCCGTAAAGATTACAGCCTTGGAAATCCTATGTCCTATAGGGACTCAGTGAGTTGGAATTGACTCGATGGCAATGGGTTTTTGGATTTATAGGACCGTTACTTACAGTTTTCGAAACCTGAGGCTTGCTGTTTTCTTTCTTGCAGGGCCACACATTATCATATGATTAATCACTGCTGCTTTCTCCATTATTGAAGTCAGCTACGGCCAAAAAGCTATTTGGTAATTTTTTTTTTTCAAAAAGAAACTACATTTACGTAACAAATGGCACAGCACAGCACATGCAAATTAATGTTCAAAACCTGACAAAAGCATATTAAACATCTAGGTTGTATTTAGATGATAAAGGTATTACTTATTTACTAAGCGATATTCTTAATTGGTAGGCCCAGCACTACAAGTTTGGAACATATTTAATACACAGAATATTCTGACCCAACTGCCCCTAAGAAAAGAACGATACCAGTGACATTGATGGGAATAATGCAAGAAGAAATCACTTGGGCATCTTGTTTCATCTTCTCCTCTGGCGTTGGGAGAGGTAGGGCTTTGCTCCAGTTGGTCTGCTTGTCCAGTGTTGAGGGGATATTGTGTATTGGATTCTTCGGCCTCTGCCCCAGCATGACACCTGTATCTTCATCCTCCGGAGGATGGGACTGCAAATGAAATACATTCCGACTCAGCCATCAGAGTTTATAAATAAGCGCACATGTAAGGAATTTCACAGTTTAGTTAAGAGAAATGAGGTCAGAAATAAGCTTTGAGGACAAAGGAGGAATTCCTGAAATAGTACACACAACTAATTGAAAGTATTATTTCCATAGTCAAGCGACACAAAGGCAAAGGAAAAATAGGCTAAACAAACATGCTTTTTAGGTTGAATGGTTTAAGAGGAGAGACAAGGTAGCCAGAAATCCCCAAACTTCAAAGTGAAAAGAAAATGTGAATCCCAAATCCAGTGAAAGGTTAGGTCCATGGTCTGGATAGCTATGTTGCTGTAAATTCCTATCCAAAGTCCTGAGAGCTCTAGGTGACTAGGATCAAAGGAAGAGGATGATTTAGATGCCTGTATAAAAAGTTCAGAGAGCATGCCGGAAAACCTGGAGTCAGGAGACATTCCAGAACAGAGCACCTGAAGGACAAGCCAACCAAATCTAAGAGGCCAGGTTAAAAACACAAGGAAGGAGTTCATCTCACTGCAGGACTACAGCAGGAATGAATCACATTTCAAAAACTCCATTTCACTGATACTGTATACACATGGAAAAGCAAAAGGGAAAAACTCCCCCCCCCCCAACTCTAGTGAAAATATAAATGCTGTTACTGGGGACAAGATTCAAGCGTGTTTTGTTTTCAAATTTGGGAGGGCAAAGCAGTCCTAGGTTATTTTCTTTTGCTTTTGCAGAAGCATGAAGCTTTTCTCCCAGCTGAGCAGTTAAGGGCTTTCACTTCTACATGACATTTGAGAATTCTCCACCCAGATCTTTGATAAATATTACCATTGTCTAACTTTTGTTTCAGAGTTGGGCTCCTAGCCCAGATTATTAAAAAAGACTCCATCCCAGTTTTTATTTCAGGGTTGGGTTTCTAAACCAGATTATTAAAAGACCCAGTTTTCACCATAGAACCTTGTTTTGTTTGCTTTCAAATTTTAGAGGAAGGTGGGCATTTGTATAAAATTAACCCTTTTTCCTCTGATTCCAGTAAGGTTTTAATAATATTCTATAGTAAAATCAGGATCATTCGTTTTTCATTTCTCTTCCTCACATTTGGCAACATCATGCTCTGTTGCTTCAGAGAATTTCACAAATTGTCAAATTAACTGTTCTCAAGTCCCCTTAAAGAGCTGATTCCAGAGCCACTTGACTGAACTAACCCACAGCATTTGCTTACCTTGTCAGAGGTTCTATACAGTCCCCTCAACACACCCAAGAGGATATGATTCCCCCCCCTTGAGAAAAATGTGTTCGCTGTGAACGTTTTAGTAAAACATTGCAACCTTCTTTCTCTCTTCAGCTTTTGTGCAGATTTCCAGCGAAGCGAATAGCTCAAATAAAGTTCGAGCACAAAAGACTTTGTTTCCTAGGTAACTTCCAAAAAGAAAAAAAAAAAGTTTGGTGCATGCAAAAGAGAGAGAGAGACCACGAGCCAGTGTGCAAGCGAGCTAGAGCTGGAGCAAAACACCCCCTACCAGAAGCCACATTTTGTAGACGATTCCTTCCTTGAATAACAATGGACTGAGAAACAAAGAAAGAATAGTGACCTGACTACAGGCCCTGACCAGCAGCCAAAAATACTTTTTATTTATTAGTGACAGGGACAACTGGCTGCCAGAGAATCCTTTTGTCCTGTTCTCTTTTTTGATTAGAGAAGCTGAACCTTTATAGTTCTGCTAAATATAGGGCAGGTCGGAATCTCTTTCCTCGAAACTACAAAGTCGAGGAGCAGCATTAGGTGATGCCCATCTTGAACAGAGCCTTAATTGCAACTTAGGGGGAGAAAACGGTAAACGGGAAAAAAAGACAAAGGCATGGTTGTCTAAATTATACTGTATTTAATTCAAGTTAGGAAAAATACCACTCTTTGGGTTGATTTAAAGGAAAACACCGTTAGTTAGAAACAGTTTGCAATGAAGTTAAAACAGAAGAAAGTGAAAGTGTGTGGAGAGAGTGGGATAGGGCTGCGAAGGAATGTTCTCAGAGCCAATACCTTTCTACTCCATGGGGTCATGTGGCAACACTCAGTGGGGGAGTGCGAACGGGTGCTGTTAAACTATAAACATGAAATGCAAAAAAAGAACAAATTAAAAACATGCACACAACACACAATATACCCCGGTTAAGCCAAGGTTATGATATTAATGAACGAATATAGAATGGATATACTGGCACAACTTCCTTTCTTCCTTCTTTCCTTCCTTTTGTTTATTTATTTTTGTGATTTAGGTGAAAGTTTATAGAGCAAATTAGTATCTCATTAAACAGTTAATACACAAATTGTTTTATGACATCGGTTGCCAACCTCGTGATGTGTCAACACTCTCCCCTTCTCCACCCCAGGTACCCTGTTTCCATTCGTCCAGTTTTCCTGTCCCTTCCTGCCTTCTCATCTTTGCTTTCGGGCTGGTGTGCCCATTAGTCTTGTATACGTGACTGAACTATGAAGCACGTCCCTCAAGTCTGTTATTGTTGGCCCTATAGACCTGTCTAATCTTTGGCTAAAGGGTGAACCTCAGGAGTGAATTCAGTACTGAGTTAAAAGGGTATCCAGGGGACCATACTCTCAGGGTTTCTCTAGTCTCTGTCATACCAGCAAGCCGCATCTTATTTTTTTTGCTAATTTGAATTCTCTTCTACGTTTTTCTCCTGCTCTGTCTGGGACCCTCTATTGTGATACCTGCCAGAGCAGTCGGTGGTGGTAACCGGGCACTATCTAGTAGTTCTGGGCTCAGTCTGTTGGAGGTTGTGTTAGTTGTGGTCTGTTAGTCCTTTGGACTAATATTACCCTTATGTCTTTGGTCTTCTTCATTCTCCTTTGCTCCAGACGGGGTGGGACCAGTAGATGTATCTTAGATGGCTGCTCACAGACGTTTAAGACACCAGTCACTACTCACCACAGTCGGATGTAGAAAATTTTCTTTATAGACTATGTTACGCCAGTTGAGCTAGATGTCCCCCCAAGACCATGGCCCCCAGACCTCAGCCCAGTAGCTTGATCTCTCACGGCGTTTGGATGTGTCTGTGAAGCCCCGATGACTTTGCCCTGGTCAAGCTGTGCTGACTTCCCCAGTATTGTGTATGGTCTTACCTTTCACCAAAGTTACCACTTATCTACTACCTAGTTGGTGTTTTTCCCTCCTCACCCTTCCCCTCCCTTGTTCTCTTTCTTTCCTTTTTAAATGAGTATTTTATGAGAGGTTGCATAAATAGTGGTTAAGAACACAGATCTGGAACTAGACTGAGTTCAGATCCTGGCTCCACCACTTATTTGCTGTGAGCAAATTATTTATTTGACCAGGGGCAATTACTCAACCTCTCTAAGGTCAGTTTCCTTATCTGTAAGATAGGGAAATAATAGCACCTATCTTCCAAGGCTTTTTTGCTATTTTGAGGATTAAATGAGTAAATATATGTAATATACTTAGAAGAATCCTGGCACATAGTTAGCTTTATATGTCAGTAAGCGTCTGCTATTATTATATTATTTTCATCATCATCATCATCTTCCTTACCTTGTAGCTGTGAAGTATCTGTGAGATTGTCTTTGCAAATTGTACCTTTTCTATATTTTAGATCCCAACCCCATTTGCTAATTTGGGAAAGACCGAATTATTTTCTTTCCTTGGAGTGATTTTATTTTTCCTGGTAACTACTTGGAAGAAAATTTCCTGTGTATAATTTCCTCCTCTGGACTGCTCAAAATTTGCCTTTTCCTCAAATTCATAAACTAACTCTAGTTGGAGACAGGGCGAGTTTCATGGGTGTGTGACCTGTGCAGTCACACAGGGCCCATATTTGGTTTAATGCTCTGCTGTCACTGTCATGAAATTCCTAAATTTTCAATAAGGGGCCCTACATTTTCGTTTTGCACTAGGCCCTGCAAATTACGTAGCTGGTCCTGTTTGGAGATTAATCTGGTAACCAAGATCCCCTTTTCGGGATCTACTGAAAACAGGACATTGAAATTTTTTTTTAACTCTAAGCTAGGACAGTTTTGGATTCAGTTAGGCATTTATTATAGGACTTTCCCTATGGCACTGCTTTAACGTAACATGAATTATTTCTGTATGTGTCGTTTTCATCTGCTAGATTGTGAATTCCTAGAGGCCAGGAGCCATATTTAATTTTCCTTTCAGTCTTCCAAAATGCCAGCAAAGTATCTCCCCAATTGTGAGAGCTCACAAAATTATTTGTTCACTTGAATGATAGCAGCTCTATGTTTTAACAATGATGGGAAGCCCAGATAAAATAAGAGCCGTGATCAGGATCTCAGGAAGCAGACACTATTGAATCCAAGGTACTTACCATCTTAGTGCAAATAGGTAAAAACAAATACAGAAAACCACACCAACACTTGGTTCCATCAGATACTCAGTATTGATGTATGCTGGGCCTAGTTATTCTTAAGTCTATGGCAGACATGCATTTCTTTTGGGAACACTCAAGGTCTAATTCTATTCTCAGTTTCTAAGTTTTAGCTGACAGAGTTGCTCATTAATTTTTTTAAGCAAAGCAATGTCATCTCCTCAGCCCAGTTAACTTTGATATAGACCTTATTTGCAACAAATGATTTTGTAGGGTCAATGTCTCCCTTGCTGAAAGTGACCATTTTGACAGATATGGTGGTGTATGAGTTCAGACAATAACCTGGTCCTCTTATAAGAATCAGTCACAGATAATGATGTGGAAATCTTAAATAAGACACTGGGATGCGTAAAATAGAAAATTCATGGAAGTGGGAAAGAGTCTGAAAGCAAAGCCCACATGGAAAGGGGACCTGCTTCAAGGAAGCCAAAGGCTTCGGTGTCTCATGAAAGGATTTTCAAACAGTTACACAGCTGGAAACTGTAGGTCAGAAAACATACTAATAATATCAATATATTAATTTTGGTACCCGTTGACCAAACCCGTTGCTCTCGAGTCAATTCTGACTCAAAGTGACCCTATAGGACAGAGTAGAACTGCCCCACAGGGTTTCCAAGGCTGTAAATCTTTACAGAAGTAGACTGCCACATCTTTCTCCCATGGAGCGGCTGTTGTTGTTAGGTGCCATCGAGTCGGTTTCAACTCATAGTGAGTCTGTAGGACAGAGGAGAACTGTCCCATAGGGCTTCCAAGGGGCGGCTGGTGGATTTGAACTGCCGACCTTTTGGTTAGCAGCCAAGTGCTTAACCACTAAGCCACCAGGGCTCCATAGAGTGGCTGGTGGGTTCACACTGCTGACCTGTCAATTAGCAGCCGAACACTTAACCACTGCACCACCTTTTAATTTTGGTAGTTGGTCTTAAATCTCCTAAATCAGCTCTCCTGTTGAATATTTTTTTCCAGGAGTGGGGAATGGGGAATGGTTTTTATTTTTCATCTGCTTGAGAAACCTGCCCACCCCGTTAAACAAGCATGAGGTAACGCCTGGAAATGACTTAAGGATGGCAAGTCCAGAGAGTTAGCTCAGACTGTTAAATTTTGGTCACCATGATTAAGTCAAGGTCTCCTTGGATTACACTGCACGGCTTGGATTCAGCCCTCACAAGCTGGAGGTTAGAGTTACTATCAACATAACAGAGAGGCCTATTCCTCTTCAGCTAATCAGCCTCCCTGCTATGTTGATAGCAGCTCCAACCTCTAGCTTGTGGGGGCTGAAACTAGGTACTCTTGAGTTTGAATGTGGAAGAACTGTGTTCTTTGGTTTCTCCACCTAGGCACAAGCACTCAAGTCCTTGCAGATGGTCTGTGGATTTAGAGTATTCAAGTTTATAATTTTAAAATGGGCTATGGTTTTATTTCTGTTATGACTTAGTAACTGCCTTAAAAAAAAACAAACCAAACCTGTTGCCGTCCGAGTCGATTCTGACTCATAGTGACCCTATAGGACAGAGCAGAGCTGTCCCATAGGGTTTCCAAGGAGCGGCTGGTGGATTCAAACTGCCAGCCTTTTGGTTAGCAGCCAAGCTCTTAACCACTGGGCCGCCAGCGCTCCAGTAATTGCCTTAGTGTAGTGTTTTAAAGCATTCTCTTTCCTGGGTGTTTGGAAGGCCCTATTTAAATGAATCCTATTGCTTATTCAGAGTAATACTTACAAGGCAGAAACCATTTCTTTATGACTGTATTCCTACCACTTCAATAGTGCTTCATAAATATTTGTTGTACTACTAGCACCCCCAGGTACCTGGCATAAGCAAACAAAACTCCTCTCCTAAAGAAATAACATCAAATTATTTACACACTTCATTTTTCAATACAATATCTAGCATAGAGTCAAAGATAACAAGGCACAGGAGGAGATAAGACAGCATGAGCAAGAAGCATCCGAAACAACAGGTACTAGAAGCAGACCTACAGGGACTCCTGATTTTGGAATTATCACTCAGTGTAGGTTCTCCCAGAGTAAATATGTGGGAAGATTGTTAGGAGACCACCCATTCATTCATTCTTTCATTCATTCAAGAATATTTCTTTGAAGACAGTCAAAATCAGCCCCAGTGGAAACAAATTATCAGATTAAAAATAATTTCTCCCTAGTGGGTATATAGGTGTTCACTCTATAATTCTTTCAATTTTTCTGTACTTTTGACAATTTTCATAATAAAATGTTGGGGGAAAATGAAAAAAATAAAAGTAATTTCCCCCTCCTCTCCCAGGCTCCCATTCTTCCCCTAGCACTGGTTTTGAGAGGCCTCAGATTCCAAGTTGTACCATTCTAAAATCAGCTGCTACCATTAATGCCCCATCTTGTTGCTAACAAAAGATGCTTCTTTGATGCCCTCATCCCATTTCTGTCCCTGCTGGCCCTATCAGTTATACCTTCAAATTCTTTCCCTAGCTTCCCATGAGACTGCTTCAACAAAAGCTAGAGTTATACTTATGACCAGTGTTCATAACAAAAAACAACAGACATTATACTCAAAAGCACTCAAAGAAATTTCTTTGGTGAATAATGAAAGAATATTTTTCAAACCCTAATCATTCTTGTGGTGTGTGTGTGAGAGAAAAGTTCATTTCCCCACTTTTGTGGGTATGAACAAGTATTTCTCCAAAGATCTCAAGATTTTCCCC